ATTGAGCTGTGACCTGAGTTTTTTAAGATACTAATAACTTGAAACGTGTGTGTTTTTTCTCTTTATAAGAGACTGATGTTTTTTTTAAGATACTATTATTGATCAATTTATTCAACAGTGTGTGAGTTTTTTTAAGAGACTGATGATATATTTTTCTCATTCTATTGCAGATGGTTGCTTCATCCTCCAAAATCCCACACACTGTTGAAGAAACCATGGATGTTGAAGGAGAAGAGTACCAATGTACTCAAAACCGAGGGAAGGCTATTGCTGGAGATGCAACTTCTGGTGTATCTTCTCAGTCAAAGAAGGTGATGAAAGTCGTTGTGCCAAGGTCTGGTGTCTGGAAACATTTCACCCGAACCAAAGAAAGTCGTGACAGATGCATCTGCCACTATTGTCAGAAGGTCTTCTCATGCGCTACCAAATCAGGAACATCAAATCTCCAGAAGCATCTGTCTATCTGCAAAGAGTACCAAGCATGGTTAACCAGTCAAGGAACGAATCAGATAGAGATCAACACTGATGGCAATCTGAAGTCATCAAAAGTTGCAGAGGCTGTTTTCAGAGAGGCATCGAATGAGTTGATTGTGCTAGCAGAACTGCCTCTTTCTTTTATTGAAAGCACTGCTTGGAAACACTTCTGCAGAAAGGTAATCAAACCGTTACCTATTTTTTTTAATCTTCTTTTTACATGAAAAATTACTAACACATTTGTTATTTACACTTGCAAGGTAAACCTCTACAAGCCACACTCGAGACGTACTGCAACCAGAGACATCGTTGAGATGTATGTGAGGAAAAAACAAGCTTTGAAAAACATGCTTCGCACAACCAAACAAAGAGTGTCACTGACAACGGACATATGGGTTTCACAAGTCACAGGTAACTTATTTTCAGCTATTTTTCTTTGTTTTATTTATGCTATGCTTTGTTATATCATAGAAACTTTTTTAAAAAAAAATGTCTGAAGTCTGATATATGCATATGATATTTTTATAAAGTCATTTTTAAAAAAAAATTCTAACAAAGAATGTAACTTAGAACTTTATGCATCTGAAATATTTTGGAAGTTTTTTAAAAAAATTTATGAAGTCTTTGTTTGTTTGTTGTACTTGTAACAGGTGCAAGTTACATGGTGATAACAGCCCACTTCGTGGACGCAACTTGGCAGCTGAAGAAGCTTATCATAGGCTTCAAATATGTGATGGACCACAAGGGTCAAACCATCGCAAATGTGCTCTTGGAGTGTCTAGCTGAATGGGGCATCGAGAAGGTATTTTGTATCACAGTAGACAACGCCACTGCTAATACTTCTGCCATTAGGAGATTCCATAGGGAGTTTAGTGATGTTTCCCCTGAGGCTTTAGTTCTAGATGGAAATTTCTTGCATATGAGGTGTTGTGCTCACATCATTAATTTGATTGCTAAGGATGGCTTAACCGAAGTAGGAGAAAACGTGTTAGCCATTAGGAATGCTATCCAGTATGTTCGTTCTTCAACACCTAGACTTAATGCATTTGATCTTAGAGTCACCACTGGGAGAATGAGCCGGGGTAGCTTGCCTTTAGATATTAAGACTAGATGGAATTCGACATTCCTTATGTTGTCTAGGGCTCTTCAGTTTAGAGCAGCATTTGATAGGATGGAGGCAGAAGATAGGTTATATAATGATTATTTTTTGGAGATTGAAAATGGAGTTAAGAGGTGTGGACCACCTTCTATGAGAGACTGGAGTGCTGTTGATAAGCTCAAGAGGTTTCTGATAATCTTTTACAACAGTACTCTAGTTGTTTCTGCCTCATCGAAGGTGAATTCTTACCAATGCTACGGTGAGATAGTGACCATAGAAAGAAACCTCACTGCATTAGCCAACAGCTGTGATCCAGAGTTGAAGGTGAAAGCGTCAGAGATGTTGCAGAAGTTCCACAAGTACTGGGATGGTATCAAGAGTGTTAACAGGATGCTGATCGTAGCCACAGTTTTCGATCCAAGGAAGAAAATGCAATTTGCAAAGCTGTGCTTCGAGAAGCTCTATGAGAAGGACAGTTTGGAGTCTAACGCGATGCTGGAATCTGTTGGTGATCTTCTCAGGTATATGCCATTAATCCATCTCATATTTACTTGTATAAATATTTAATTTTTGTTTGTGTTTTAATAATTTAATTATCTTCTCAGGTCTATGTTCAAGGAGTACAACACAAGATTCAGAGGGTCTACTGGAGAAGCCTCTCCGTCAAATCAGGCATCATCATCTCAGCCTCCTCCAGAGTCCCAAGATCAAGGTGCGGACAGAATGGAGCTGGTGGTTGAAGATTTTGGTTATGAGAGGATGGACTATGTGTACAAGGAGCTGGTTGCTGAGAAGGGAGAGGATACAAGGGATGAACTTGAAGTGTACTTGAAGGACGCAGTTGAAACTCCTAATCTTTTGCTTGGTGTGGAGTTCGACATTCTCTCTTGGTGGAAGGTTCACAAGATGAAGTATCCTGTTCTTGCTGAGATGGCAAGAGATCTCTTTGCCATGCAAGTTTCTTCAGTGGCATCTGAGAGTGCTTTTAGCACAAGTGGTAGGATCTTGGAGCCATATCGAAGCTGCTTGACTCATTACATGATCGAAGTTCTCATGTGCACCGAGCAATGGATGCATGCTGACATCAAGGTGAGTTCACAAGTGACCACAAATGAGCAAATGCTTGCTGATGTGGAGATGCTTGATCGACTTCAGAAAGGTATGTAGATCTCTTCTTTATACTGTCTTATTTAATGTGTTAGTTTATGCTAAGTTTCTCTCTTGTGCTTTGTTTTTATGTTGCAGAGTTTCAAGCACAAAGGCTTGATGATTGAAGCTTCAAGGTCGAAGCAAGAAGTAGCTGAAGGCGGATGAAGGTTGAAGAATGGTGTTTGAAGTTTTCTGCATTTGATTTTTATTTCTTTCAAGTTTGAATAATGTTATGGCTTTGCTTTCTTTGGATTCTCTGATTTGTTTTGACTCTACTATCAATAATGTTATGGTTTTGGTTTTCTTTGAAAAATGTTATCTTTATGCTTGCTTAGAAAACATGTCTTCTGTTTCGAATTTGCTTAGGTTGAATTTGCTTAGGTTTTTAACATTTTGTTTCTCTGTTTTTTATTTACTTGTCTTGCAAGTTACGAAAATAATTTGAATGAATTGGTTATAATCGCTACAAATGGTATACTTAAAGACCCGAAGTACATATTTCTACCCGATCCCGAAAGTATTCCGGGTTATACCGGTTCCACGACAGTTAACCACCCCCGACCCGAACCGTATAGCCCCCGAACCGATACCGAACCGATCTTCAATATTACCCGATTGGGGCTTGTTTTTGTTCACCAGAAAAACCCGAACCCGGTTAGGAAAGAACCGACACCCGAATGGTACACCGGTTGCCCAGCCCTATACTTACCTATGACCAACATGTTATAAAATATCGTTCTAATTTTTTTTTTTTGTAACACAAAATATCGTTCTAGTTATCGTCTCGTTTTCTTACACGAACTGCTCTATTTAAGTTATTGTAAACCTGAATATTTGAATTTTTTGAAAGTAAATAATTTGTAAGCAAGAAAACGACGAATATTTTATGAAGAAACCATTTGTTAAATGCTTGCACATCAAACACACGATCCGCAATATGAAAACCTGAAACGATTCCAAAAATTTATGATATTTTTTGAAGGTTATAGATGCTTACGTCTCGGAATGGAAGATAGGAGTTAGTAAAAGAAAAACCACTCACCAAATGTTAAAACGTTACCTTATCAGGTTTTGATTTGCTTTTTTTTTTAGATGTGTTTTAGTTTGCTTTGGATTTTACACCTCAAATTTTATAAGATTATTTTAAATCATTCAAGCTTTATCAGTCTTTACACTATAAGAGATATAGAAAGTATATATTAGCTAGATACCGATCATTACACATTAAAGGCTCTCTCATTAGTGCTGTATATTAGCCTTCTTTATTTCATTCTTGTACTCTTCTATTTATGTAACTATTACGTGATAATAATACTCAAGCAATTACATAACCTAATATGGTATCAGAGCAATAGGCTCCAATTTCTTTTCTTCCCGTGTCCAATATGTTGATCACTTAGCTTCAACGGCGATTCATGAGGGAAGGATATACAAGTGGTTTATTGAGAAATAGGCTGGATTCTGAAACAAAGTGCTCGGTGCTTCAGGTTGGTGATTGTTTCACGGTGACTTTCCGATGAAGCCAATTCTCTCTTCACAATGCAGAGCTTAGTGAAGGTCAAGAGCTCAACACGTGTTCACCATGTGTTATCCTTATCTCTTTACATTGTCAAACACGTGGTTGACGTCTTTACCCTGTACCGTTCATGAATTTATTAAGAACTCATGACCAGTACTAGGTATTAGCCTATTAGGTAACCACTAGACATGCTCGACAGACTTATCGACTGATAATATTATACAAAATTAGAAGACGTGTATCCTAGTCCTAAAGATAATATTTTCTTTTTAATGGCAGTTAGAGTTTTAATCAGAATACTATTATAGTATTATGTCTCCTTCTCTCTCTCTCTTGTTATATAAGAGCACTTCTATATTCTATATAATCTGTGCGACCGAGTAAAAGAGCACCCATTGTTCTTGTTTTAGAACAAGTTCACGTGTTCCTCGTCATAAGAGTGTTTCAGTGAATACAATCGTCAAGTGTATTTTTGGTTTTGATCAAACGCTCTATTCAATTCTCTTAGACATCTTTTTCGATCTCTTTTCTTTATTTTCTTTCTTATAATGATAAAAATCTATTTTTCTTGTTAATTTCTCTAAAGTAAACAATGAACTAAAGAGTTATTCTTCCTTGAGTAGTTCTCTAGCTAGGATTTCAATTGGGTTTTATATTAATAAATACATAAATAAAATAAGAAATCAAGAAGAATAACCAGAGATGGGGAGAACACCATGTTGCAAAGCAGAAGGAATAAGAAAAGGAGCTTGGACTCGTGAAGAAGATGAAAAGCTTACTGCGTATGTTCAACTACATGGTGAAAGTGGATGGCGTACTCTCCCGGAGAAAGCTGGTTATTTTAACAATTTCCTTATTGTTTATTGATTAGGAATTTAATATATTTTTTTCATTAGGAATTCAATATGATTAGTTAACAACTCATTTCCTCTTAATTATATATGTATTTATTAACAATATGTGTACAATATGTATATAGGATTGAAGAGATGTGGTAAGAGTTGTAGACTTAGATGGGCTAATTATCTAGACCCCGACATCAAGAGTGGAGACTTTACTTCTGAAGAAGAAGACACTATTATCAAGCTTCATGCTCGTATGGGTAACAAGTAAGAAAACGTTCCTTATTATTACTTTTGTATTATATTAGTAATTTAGTACTACAATCTTTACAAAATTTAATGGTGTTTTTCTTCTTCTGAATTTCACATTTGTTACAAGTTGTAAAATAAATAAATAATTATTTCACAAAACATGTTATTTTGTCGTTTTCTCACACAAAAGGGTTTTTTTAGTATTTCAGTGCATTTTCTACTTAATTTAAACTTAATATTAGTTACTTTAATACTAATTGTTAAATTATTTTAATTAATAGATCATAATTGATTTCAATCAATTTTTTAATTTGTGTAAAAAGTGTCAAATATTTTTTTCCATAATATATGGATGTATAAAAGGGAAATTTGTCCCAGTAACCACAAAACAACCAAAATTAATTAAGTAATCAAAAATACATTATCTTTTCAACAAAACCAATCTCTCGTTTTTGGTTAGTACACAACTAAGTCCTAAAACTATGAAGCTAGTTCTTTTTCAAAAAAAAAAAACTATGAAGCTAGTATTGTTCAATTTTCTCTTTATTCGGGAAACCATCAATTTTCTTTCTAAATGTCACATTGATTACATATTGTAACATAAATATATAGATCAAATTTTTATTATAACTTTTTGAAACAAATATTCAATTGGAGGATAACATTGCTTATGGTATTATTGTTAAAGGTGGTCGGCAATAGCAACTAGCTTGCCGGGACGAACTGACAACGCGATTAAAAATTATTGGAACGCATATATCAAGAAGCGTTTAAAACGAAAAGGTATCGATCCAATCACTCATAAACCGATCAATCCAACAGACCAAACCGGTTTCGAACCAAAAAAACATAAACACGGTTCAACCGGTTCCGCAAGACTTCTTAACCACGTCGCAAGGAAATACGCGAGAGATTTAAACCGGGACATGCTAACCGGAATCATCATCGCCGATAGTTCACAAAACTCGACTAAAAACTCGACCTCCACATTGCTCAACAAAGCGGCGGCAAGATCAAGTGCTCTCACATCGTTTCTTACCAACAATATGTCCTCATCTCCCGGTCTTTCCGACAATCTTGACCTATTCTTTAGCAACGAAGAGATCTCTGGTATGTATCCGAATGTTGATAATGTTGGTGGCATTATGGAAGAGTTAAAGGCTATTTTAAGCCATGCTGACGTCGGAGATGTTAAAGACTTGCTGGAGTTTAATGTAGGTGATGAGATGGAGGTTCTTGATTCTTGGAAGTTGGAACGAAGAAGATGATTTGGACTTATTGAATTGGGTACGTTAGAGCACCATTATCGCCGTTGCTTACCTGGGGTTTTTAGTGTAATTATGATTTAAAATAAATAAAAAATAGCTGTTATTAGAAGCAATGTTGCTTAATTAAGAACAGTAAGCAACAGTTGCTTATGAACACGTGTTACATCTTAAAGGTCTTTTATCTTCTCCTCTTCTCTCCTTCTAGCCTCCATCGATTCTCCTCTTCCTTTTGACAGTAGATCATTTTCTGGTTGAGGTTTTGCAGAACCCTCACCACTCTAATTCATCTCACAAACCTTAATCTGGGTATAATATGTTGATTTTTTTACGTTAAAATCAGTTTTTGTAATATAACAATCTTCTGATTATCAAGATCACAAGTTTCTGATAATCAAATTATTATGCTCTGTTTTTATGAGAAGAAAACAGAGTATCAATATAAAAGAAACTTAACTTTATACGCTTGTTTTACTGATCAATATAAGTTGCATGTGTTCAAGAGACATTATGGTTGTTAGGATTAAGAAACTTGCGATGGAGGAGAAAATTTATCAAATTGCTTAGGTAGGTTGTTTATCCAAAAAAACTCCTTAAATACTATTATTATATAATTAAGCAACTCATTATGAGTTGTTAGGATAATGATGCTCTTAGATTGGTGTCTTAGTCTGACAAGTGATGAGTCATAATAAAATAAAATCAATTACACGTTGGTTTTTTCTTTAGTTGATGTATCGCACTTGGCGGAAATTATGAGTGTGTTGTAATAAAAGTAAACAATAAAATACTAAACATTTGTTTTTAAATTTCAAATAGAAACGTGAAAAACAGTTCTCTATAGAAAAATGACTAGCAGTACTACTACTTCTTCGTTTCGCAAAAAGATTGTTTTAGTTTCAAAAAGGTATTGTTTTAAAATTTTACTTTTCTTTCACAAAGTGTCATTTTATATTCTTAACACAAAAACGTTGGCAAAATTCAGTTTTATTATTATTGTTTTTTGTACCAAATATTTGCTTTATTGTTATATTTTAGAAAAAAAATATTTAAGGTGTATATGAATATTGTCGTCCACGATGGCTACTTTTTGGTGCAGATTCACGTGGACGCATAATCTTTGTAGTTTTTATTTTTACATATACTCATTTTCTTGTTTTGAATGACTTTTTAATTTTTTCACATAAAACAACCTTGTTACAAGCAATATTACTATTAGTCAAGTTGGGTTGTTTGGAGACCTCCTACTCGACGAGAGTTACTGGTGCATAGACTGTGGTTTGAAAACTATATCGAAGAAAGAAAGTAGTCGTTTTATCTTGGAGACCATTAATCAAACCATGCAGCAAAATCTCCCATTGAACTGATACAGCCGCACCAGTTAGATTACCAATAACCCCGAGTCACATTTCTTTAGCACATGAACAAGCAAAATACAAGTGATCTCTTGTTTCAGTAGGTGAGTTACAGAACCAACAGCTAGCTATGGTTTGTGGGTTCCATTTAGAGCCAGGCCTGAGTTAATGGTGGCTCCATTCCAAATTTCTTTTTCTTAATTTTGTTTTTATAATATTATAAACAACATATAAATTCAAAATTGAGAAACTAAAAAATAAAAAAGTTTCAACAAATTATTACACGGAAAGTAAAATAGATATGCCTTTCATGGTACTATTTTAACCAATACCACGGCCAAATTATTATAAGAAAATTCTGCTTCAACTCTTCCGTGATATTAAGTTATCGTTTCTTTAGAAAAAATAATAATGTGAAGATAGCGACATTATAGTATATACATACATATATATATATATATATATATATAATACTTGTTGCATTTTCTTCTTCTACTAACCAAAAGGTTAATCAGTTTCTAAATAAAATATAGAAAACATTGAAGTGCACGTTTTTGGAAAGTCTAATAAGCTAACCTTAGTTGGATGTCAGCATTAGGTTAGTCAGCACATATTTGGTTTGACGTTGTGGCTCGTTCTCTTTTTGTTTTCTCGGACACTTGTTGGGGTGTGCCCACAATGAATTTCAAGCCGACCAAACACAATTATCTAAAGTTTTCTTTATTTTAGAAAAAGGTAATAATTCTCGGAGAAGTTGAAGGAAAATGTTTCTCTATCAAAGAATCTTGAAAAAATTCCAATTAAAGAGAAAATTTCTAAAACCAAATGAGTAGAACTTTTTTTTTCACAAATTGATACCACTAAAAGAAAATAAGAATATTAGAATGAACTCGTAAAATGTATATAACGGAAGGAAAATATATATAGCTAAGTCTCGGTAAACAAAGAAAAATGTAACAATTTAGGAAAATATATCTTTCCACAAGTTTGACCCCATATGTCAATGTAATCTATATTATAGTAAATAGATAATACAAAACAATATGATTCACATGAGCAGAGAAAACTACGAAGAGGAGAAGGAGGACGAGGATGAGGGAGAAAAAGCAAAGGAAGAAGAATAAGAAAGAAAGGAGAAAAAGAGAGAGAAAATCATAGTTTTGCACACATGAAAATTCTGGCCAGGACCGGTCTAGAAATTTTTGGAATTTCCGTATAAAACTATAAAAATATTTTAAATATCATAATATATATTAATTAATTATATAATAATTGTTTTAATATAATATTTATATATTTTTTTAAAGAAAATAACCAATTGAAATATATATATATATATATATATATTTGCATATGTATGTTACACAATTTTGCATGTTTGCTTTTCTTACATATTTTTCTATTCTAATCTGTTAATAATTTTAATAAAAATGTATAAAAATGGGAAAATGCAAAAAAAAAAGTTGATTTTTCTTTTAAGTATGGGCTTCACAAATTTGTGAACCCTATACCAAAGTCTCACAAGTATACCTTCAGACCCGGCACTGATTCTGGTAGAAAAGATTTGAAACTATTCATGTACATAGTGTAGACTCTACAATTAGAAGAAAACAGGTGTGGAATGTTCCCCCAGTCATCTGGTTCAAATGTAATGTAGACACTTTCTTCATTACTACTCAGATAGAAGCTACAACAAGATGGGTTGTGCGTGATCATAGTGGATGCTATCAGGGTGTGGTTCAGGTGAAAGGATTTAAAGTTTGTTCCCCGTTGGAAAGTGAATTACAAGGTATACTTATGGCGGTTCAGTACTGTTGGACTCGAGGTCATAAAAATATCGTCATAGAGTCAGATTGCAAAAAATTCCATGGACATTCTCAACAACAGGTTTTACATTTCTATACATATAATTGGAAGAGAGAAATCTGATGGTGTAAGGAAAAGTTTCAAAATGTATGTTTCTGATGGACAAGTCGAGAAGCAAATAAAGTGGCAGATAAGTTAGCAAAAGCAAAAACTCACAATATGTCTACTTATTGTTTTCACTATTATGTTCCAAAAATGCTTTAAGGTCTTCTACATGAAAACTATGTATTAACATTTGCCAGAAGATATGAAGTCATATATAAAAAAAAAGATTATAGAACGAATGAAAGATGTGAAGAGATTGATCGAGGTTGTGGAAGAGAAGAAGATACAATGTGTAAAGGTGAGAATACAACGAGTAGAAGTGGTGAATATAGAAAATAACATATTTTTATTTTAATAAATTGATGCATCATGCACTGACATAGTATGGAGAATAAAGAGAGTTGAACCTTAGGTATTCCCGATTTTCCAGAAAATAGTTGTTTTATAAGGGTTAGTCCCCTTATTAAATTGTATATAAGTTTAAATAAATTACTCACTGGAAAATTATAAAGGACGCCATCTACCATGAAAATCAGTCTAGCATACACACACACACACATATATATATAAATTTGAAGTGTGATTAGGTATTTTTAAACAACACTAAATAGACTAAATAGTATAGATAGTATTTATCAAAAAATTAAATCTTTTCGTAGGGGTTAACCCACACATTTTAAGATAAATTAAAAATATGGAATTGTTTTTAATGTATTGATGCATCATGCACTGGAAAAGTATAAAGATTAAATATGTTTGAGACCTTAGGTGTTCCTATTTCTCTAGAAAATAGAGATTTTGTAGGGGTTAGTACACTAATTAAATCTTATGACGTTTAAAAAATTTATTTGTTGGAAAATTAGAAATGATGCCCATGTACCATGAAAATATGTTTAGATAAATTAATATGCATTAGAGTGTGGTTATTTATTTGAAAAAAAAATATTAATGAGGTTAAACTTTATCATATATAACATTTTTCAGAAAACATTTTTGTAAAAAAAATAGAAAATATGATATTTTGTTTTAATGTATAGTTTCATCATGCAGTGATATGTGATGAAAATTAAAGAGGTCTGAGACTTTATTTGTCCATGTTTCCATATAAATTACATTTTATAGGGGTTAGTCCACATAATTAGCTGGTAGCTGGAATATGAAGTTTTATTAAATTACTCATTAAAATATTAGAAATGATTCCCATGTATCATGAAAATGTATAATGTGATTAGGTATTTTTTTAATCAACATGAAATAGATGAAACTTGTATATAGCATTTATCGGAAAACTTGATCGTTTTGTAAGTGTTGACCAACATATTTCAAAATAAATTATAAAATACAGTATTTTCTTTTAATGAATAGATGCATACAACACAAATATAGCATGAAGATAATTGTCTCAATTAGTTTTTCTCTAGTATTTAGCATTCTTGAGTGTTAAATTTGAGATGTTTTGCTGCATCATTAAATTGATATCTATTTGTTATTAAAATTTTACAAACACTTGTTTTTATTTTTTGATCTCTTATAGTTGATTTTATTATATTTTATAAATGATTAATAAGGCTTTATAAATGACTTTATATGCCTTTATAATCTCTTATATATTGTTTATGAAATTTTATAATCAATTTACAATATTTTATAAATGATTTATATACGCATATCATTTTTAGTAATTTCAAAAAGCCTTATAAGTTTTTTATAAACTATTTTAGAAGTTTGTAGTGATAAAACTTCCCAACTATAAATTTTAACCATTATCCATCTAAAATAAACATAATTATATGTTAAATGTTTGTAAGTTGAGAGTTTTAAACATTTAAATATTAATTAAAAGGTTTTCTTCTGATTTGAAAATAGTCTAGGAGTTGTATCATTAAAAACCTTTAAATATAGTGTATTATCAAATCCATCAGATTTTACAAATGAGTTCTTCTATCCATTAGTCATTAAGTTTGGTGAAACATCTGTTTTAGCCTCCAGAATTTTAGAAGTTAATATATATAAATTTTACAACTCTAAATTGTAAAAACAAAACTTTATTAAAACCTATCTTAAAATCATTATGATTTATGATTCTATAAATCCTATGATCGTTCTCGCATTTCAGTTGCCACAGTTACATAGTTAAGATTTGAATAAGACCTCAGGTTGATGAATGCTGGTATTTGGTA